CTTTTTTTTTTACTGTAGCATAGTATTCCATTGTGTATATGTACCACCGTTTTTAATCCACTCATCTGCTGATGGGCACTTAGGCTGTTTCCAAATCTTAGCTATGGTAAATTGTGCTGCTTCAAACATAGAGGTGCATATATCCTTTCTGATTGGTGTTTCTAGTTTCTTGGGATATATTCCTAGAAGTGGAATCACTGGGTCAAATGGGAATTCCATTTTTAGTTTACTATTCTCCACAGTGGCTGCACCAGTCTGCCTTCCCACCAGCAGTGCACAAAGGTTCCTTTTTCTCCACATCCTCGCCTGCACTTGTCATTTGTTGATGATAGCCATTCTAACAGGTGTGAGATGGTACCACATTGTCGTTTTGATTTGCATCTCTCAGATGATTAGTGACTTTGAGCATGTTTTCATATGTCTCTTGGCCTTCCTATGTCCTCTTTCGAAAAGTACCTATTTAGGTCCGTTGCCCATTTTTTGATTGGGTTGTTTATCTTCCTTTTGTTAAGTTGTATGAGTTCCCTATAAATGTTGGAGATTAAACTCTTCCATCGGTGATAACATTGGCAAATATGTTCTCCCATGCAGTGAGCGTTCTTGTTGTTTTGTTGATGGTTTCTTTTGCTGTGCAGAAGCTTTTCATTTTGATGTAGTCCCATTTGTTTATTTTCTCTTTAGTTTCCATTGCCCTAGGAGCTGTATTGGTGAAAATACTGCTTCGGCATATGTCTGAGATTTTGCTGCCTGTGGATTCCTCTAATATTTTTATGGTTTCCCGTCTTAGTTTAAGTCCTTTATCCATTTTGAGTTTATTTTTGTGTATGGTGTAAGTTGGTGTATTTTGCCTTTTTTAAGGTTGTTAATTTGTTTGTGGTTTCTTTGATGACTTATCCTATCCCTGTTTACATTAGGAGAGCATTGGGTAATATGTGCACCTTTCTGGGTTAATGCAATGAGACGACACCAAACTCAGGCCTTCTGCTTGGCATTGCTCAAGGGCTCCTGGGACCAGGACTCTGGTCCCTTCCTTCAGATGCTCTGACCCCTGTACAGTGGGGTCAAGGCTCTAGTACCTGGAAAAAGGTGAATAATTTGGCTGGGTTTACTGAAAGATTATGGCAGCAGAACTGGAGTTAATTTGAGGAGCAGCATTTTATTTTTTGAGCAGCATTTTTGACATTAACTTTTCTTTAGACTTGTGGAGCCGCTCAGGTGAGCAGAAGAAAAATTGGGGTGGTTGTTAGTTTAATAAGGTTCACCGGAAAAGACCTCCCCAATCCCTAAAGAAGGTGAAGGTGGTAGCATGTGAGTACTTGGGATAGTGTGAGTACCTGGGACAAACGGAGCAGAAGCGTCTGGTATGTCTGGACAGCAAGAGGCCAGTGATCCTGAAGTGAGCATGGTCCCAGAAGTGCCCCATCAAGCACCCCTCTGACAGAGCTGTTAGAGACCTTTTTTTCTGGAAGAACTTTCATTTTCTACATCCTTTGCTTATATGAGTGTTTGAGGTTTATTTTCAAATTTTATCTATGTTCTATTCAGATTTGCAGTTCTGCAAATTTTGTTGGGTAGTCTAGAGCATTGATGATAATTGGATCCATAGTTATTTATCAGTTACTATCTCTAGAGAGCCTTATACTCAGTAGGAATTTAGATTCTAATGAGAAATTGAGATCTGAATGCATCCACTTTTGTTACTGTTGCCCTTGATTTCACCCCTAAAGTATGTGTACATAGGCTCAGCCCTTTTAGCATAAATTTTCTGCATTTTAACTCTGATTAAGTATAATTGCATTTGATTAGAATTTGGATACAAATGCATATATCAAAATTTTTCGTAGGTACCAACAGCCAAGGTTTCGGAGCTAAACCCCAATGCAAAAGTATGGGGGACACCTGTGTTACATTTGGAGGCAGGTAGTGCATCAGACAGTGGTGTGAGTGCAGCCTGGGAGGACACCTCCTGCCAGCGTCCCAACTACAGCCAGGAGGGTGAGTGGTGAGCTCAATGCCATGAGGAGCATCTTTGCTCTCCAGGCGTGGTCTTTGTTTCCTTTTAAATTGTCTTTAAGAAATTGTTAATTAAAATTTGTGTCCTGGTTTGTGATACTATTTAAGAGCCATGCCATCTTTCACCATCAACTTAAAAAAATCGAACTAACTATATACATAAGCTTTTGTTTTGTTTTAAGAGAAAGTTACTCTTCTAACCCTATCTTTTGGGATAAAATTCCTAAATACAGAATTGGATGCCAATGGTGATGGTGACAAAAGTCATGAAAATGCAGCACTGTCAGAGTTACAGGAGTTGGACCAAACAGCCATGAATACTTTGGCTCTGGATCACTCTGAATATGAGTCTCTGCCTGAAAACAGCGAAACAGGTAAAGCTGCTTTCTGAATTCATTTTCATATAGAGTACAGGCTTTTTATGTTGCTTTTTGAAATTTAGCTTTTTAAATCTTCCCCTGCACAGTGTGCCTGATAGTGCTTCTTTTGAATCTATTTTAAATTCACTCCTGTGTGGACAGAGATGAGGCTTTCTGGTCTGGGAAGGCATCATAGAAAGAGTGTGACATTAACTTGACTGAGCACTTCCTGCAAAGCAAGTCCCATTGGACTGAGAGAAGCAGAAGATCTACCATGGGGCAGAGTGTGAGAGCACAGATAGGGAACATTAGTGTGAAATTGAGAGTCAAGCCCAAAAGAAGTTGGGTCTTTTTAAAGAGGTATTTAAAGCTATTTTCAAAAGAAGAAAAGAACAAGGAAAAGAGAGCAGTTCTTCTTGGGGGGCCTGGATATGGGTAGATATAGAAGTGCCTACAGGTTATGGGACATCAAAACTCACCTCCAAGTTTGTTTCTGACATAATTTATAACCCCCAGAGACCTAAGAGGTAGGCTGTACTTTCATTGACAGTTGAAAGGGGCACCTCAAGAAGAAGGAATGACTATCCTAAGTTAGCTAGCAGAGCTGATGGAGGTGAAGTGTGCTCAGTCTCTCTGTCTAGAGATACACTTGAGTTACATGAATGAGAAAGCACACCCTCCCTTTCTGTGTTATGTTCTCACTACCAAATGTTACATACAAGAGGTACACACACAGCACCATGTACGGTAAGTGTTTGGCATCATATATTTGGTTATTTTTTCCCTTAAAGCAGTGGTTCTCAACCTTCTGGCCCTTTAAATACAGTTCCTCATGTTGTGACCCAACCATAAAATTACTTTCGTTGCTACTGTTATGAATCGTAATGTAAATATCTGATATGCAGGATGGTCTTAGGCGACCCCTGTGAAAGGGTCATTCGACCGTCAAAGGGGTCTCGACCCACAGGTTGAGAACCGCTGCCTTAAAGGGCCACACCTTTGAAGACCTTGTCTGCACTGTTGCTAATTTGGCTAGCACTTGTTGAATGTCTCCACTGACCTCTGTAATCTCCCATGACCCGCCTTTCGCCTTCATTTCATTACTTCCTTCATAGTTGCTTACTTAGCAAATGCTTCAAACTTGTTTAAATATAATTTACCTATTATGTGCCTATTCCTGAGCGGATAGATACATGTGGCTGAACAAAACTACATAGAAGTATAGTTTTGCTTTAAGTTCATGATCACAAACTTACGGTGGACCCTTAGCATGGCCCACAGTGGCCCAGGGAAGTCATTCTTCTGGACAGCTGTTTCACAACTTCTGTTCTGTCTTCAGACCCAGCACTCTCCTCTTCTTCATTATTTTTGGATGTAGAGCCTCTTGAAGCATAATTGATATACAATAAATATCACCTATTTTAAGTATATCCCAGCTTTTCTATGTTTTATTTTTCCTAGTTTATAGCACAGTATTCATTGCATTATAAAATTGATTTTCTGACTTCATTCCTCATTGATACCTCTCCCAAATGTGATACGATGGTGTACCTATAAAACCATCACCACAATCAAGATCACTACTTCTTTTAGTTGGCTTACAAATTTTGAGGTTCATTCATGTTGTAACATTCACAGGTTGTTCCTTTTTGTTGCTGAATAGTATTCCAGTATGTTTTTCCATTCATCTATTGATGAATATTTGGTTTGTTTCCAAATAAAACTGCCATGAACATTTATAAGCAAGACTTTGTATGGACACCTGTCTGTTTCTCTTGGATAAATTCATAGATACGGAATAGACAACAATCTTGTAGGCATATGTTAATCTGCTTAAGAAATGGTGGAGTTGTGTCACATAGTGGCTCCCTTTGTGTCCCCATCAGCAGTGGATCAGAGATCTAGCTGCCCCATACCCTCACCAACACCAATAATGGTCAGTCTTTTTAATTTTAGCCATTCTAAAAAGTAGGTAATGGAATCTTACTGTGTTTTTAATTTGTTTTTCCCTAATGACCAGTGGTGTCAAGCATCTTTTCATATGCATGTATTTTTTAGTGAAGGGGGTCTGTTCAAGTCTTTTGTCCATTCTTAGTGGCTGTGTTAGTAATATGTTTTGAGAGTTCCTTATATGTTTTGGACACAAGTCCTTATCAGATACGTGATTTGCAAATATATTCTCCCAATCTGTGTCTTTTTGTTCTCTTGATAGTTTCAATAGAAATTTGCAATTTTTTATATAGTCCAATTTATCATTTTTAAAAAATACAGTCCAGTGTATAATTTGTTTTTTCTTTTATGGATCTTGCTTTTGGTGTTGCACCTAAGAAATCTTATTTGTATGGTTTTAATTTTTTTCATTTTTTAGGCCTGTGTACACATTTCAAGTTAATTTTTGAATATGTTGTGAAGTGTGGAGCAAAGTTCTTTTTTCCCTCACATGTAGAAATTTGCTGGAAAGACTCTTCTTTCTCCATTGCACTGCCTTTGTGCCATTGTCAGAACCATCTGTTTATACATTTGTGGGTTTATCTCTGTCTCTCCATTTTATTAAAGTAGAAAATACTAAAAGTGTACAATTTTATAAGGTTTGATATCAGTCTAGAGCTGTGGAAACCATTGCCATATTTTCTTTTTATTGAATTTATTGGGGTGACATGGGTTTGCAAAACCATGGAGGTTTAAAGTGTACAACTCAATAAAACATCATCTGCTCACCGTATTGTGCACGCATCACCCCAAGCAAAGTCTCTTTCAGTCCTCATTTTCCCCTTTCTTTGCTACCACCATACTGTTTTCTGTTTCTGTGCATTATGCATATATGTTTTTGGTTAATTTCTTCACCTTCTTTCATCTAGTTCCCCAACCTCCCTTTCCTCTGACAGCTGTCAGTCTATTCTTTGTATCCATGCCTCTGTTTCTATTTTGTTCATCAGTTTATTTCATTAGATTCCACATGTAAGTGAGATCATATGATATTTGTTTTTCTCTGACTGGCTTATTTTACTTAGCATAATAATCTCCAGGTCCATCCATGCTGTTGCAAAAGGTAAGATTTCCTTTTTTTTTTTTTACTGCCAAGTCGTATTCCATTGTGTAAATGTACCATAGCTTTTTTTATTCACTCAGCTACTGATGGGCACTTGGGCTGTTTCCAGATCTTGGCTATTGTAAATAATGCTGCTATGAATATAGTAATGCATCTATTCTTTCAAATTAATGTTTCAGGTTTGTTAGGATATATTCCCAAAAGTAGGATCGCTGGGTCAAAAGGCAGTTTCCATTTTGAATTTTTTGAGGAAAGTCCATACTTTTCCACAGTGGCTGCACCAGTCTACATTCCCACCAAATGTGCAGAAGGTTCCCTTTTCTCACCAGCACTTGTTGTTTGTTGATTTATTGATGATAGCCATTCTGACAGGTGTGAGGTGATATCTCATTGTGCTTTTAATTTGTATCTCTCTGCTGATTAGTGATGTTGAGCATTTTTTTCATATGTCTGTTGGCCATCTGTATGTACTCTTTGGAGAAGTATTTATTCAGGTTCTTTGCCCATTTTTTAATTGGGTCGTTTGTCTTTCTTGTGTTGTTGTATAAGTTCCTTATATATTTTGGAAATTAACCCCTTACCACATGTCTCATTATCAAATACTAGAGGCCCAGTGCACGGAATTGTGCACCAGTGGGGTCCCTTGGCCTGGCCTGTGCCCTCTCACAATCTGGGACCCCTCGGGGGATATCGGAGAGCTGGTTTTGGCCCGATCCCCGCAGGCCAGGCTGAGGGACCCCACCGGTGCACAAATCTGTGCATGGGGCCTCTATTATGCATATAAGATCTTTAATCTCTTCCCGGCCTCCCCCCTCCCTGCTTCCCTCTGAGATTCATCAGTCTGTTCCATGTTTCCATGCCTATGTGTTGAGCATCTGCCCCTTGGTGGTCAGTGCGCGCCATAGTTACCGGTCCAACGGTCGCTTAGGCTTTCATATGTATAGATGTTCTCCCATTCAGTGGGGATCTGTTAGTCTGTTTTGACAGCATTGCCACACTATTTTGATTACTGTAATTCTTAAAAACAGGTAATGTTAGCCTTCTCATTTTGTTCTTTTTCACTTATTTTGGATTTTCTAATTTCCATTTTCATTCAAATTAGAATAAGATGGTTATTAGCTATAAAATGCTGAGGTTTTTTAATTGAAATTGCATTGAATCTATAGATCAATTGGAGAAAATTGATATCTTAAGCCAGTATTCATGAACAAGATATGTGTTTCCACGTGTTTAGGTCTTTGATTTTTCTTGGCTTTTGTGGAGGTTTTTTTTTTGTGTGTGTTTTTTTCAGTGTACTGATATTTCACATCTTTTGTTCAACTTATCCTTAAGTTTTTTGTATTTTTTGGTGCTAGTCTATTGTAAGTGATTTTTTAAAAACTTTAATTTGTTTATTAAACAAATTAAGCAGTTGTTAAGCAATTGTTTATCAGTAGATAGAAATATAATTAATTTTTATAAATTGACATTATACCCTGTAAACTTGCTATTAAGATCAGTTACTAGTTTTAGGAACTTTTCTGTAGATTCCATTGGATTTTCTACATAGATGTGAACTTATCTGTGAATAAATTCAGTTTTATTTCCTAGCCAGTCTGGTACCCTTTATTTCTTTATCTTGCCTGATTGTACTAGATAGAGCTTCCATTGCAAAGGTGAACATATGTAGCTAGTGCAGACATCTGATTGAACTTAGAGGGGAAAACAGTCTTTGTATTGAGTATAATGTTAGTTATTTTTACCTATATGACCTTTATTGGGTTATGTTTTCCTGGGAGTTTTTATGAAGAATGGTTCTTGAACTATGTCTTGCTTTTCCTCCATCTGTGGCAATGGTCATATATTTTTTTTCTATTTTAGTGTTTTAAAGGTGAATTATATTATTGATTTTTCAAACATTTAACCACACTTACATTCCTGGGATAAGCCTCACCTAGGTCATGATGTAATATACTTGATATATTGTTGGATTAGATTGGTCAAAATTTTGCTTAGAATTTGTACATCTGTGTCCATGAGTAATATTGATCTGTATTTTTCTTTTTGATGTATTCCTTCCTGTTCAATTTTGGATGATTTCTTCCTTAAATTAAGAAATGAAGCCATCCAGGCCTACAATTTTGTTGTGGGAAAGTTTTTACTTACATGTTTTTATCTTTTATTTTTTAATATATAGGGTTTCTCAGGTTATCTATTTCTTCTTGAGGGAGCTTTTGTTATTTACGTCTTCCAAAGATTTGGACCAGTTCATTAATTGTCAAAGTTATTGGATAGAGTTGCTTATATTATTCTATTTATATCCTTTTAATCTATAGAATCTGTCACATCACTCATTTCTGTTGGTAATTTGTGCCTTCCCCCCACCCCCCAATCAAATTTGGTAGAGGTTTGTCCATTTTATTGATCTCAAAAAATAGTATTTGGTTTCATTGATTTTCCTCAATATTTTTTTTCTTTTTTCATTGCTTTAAATCTAATCTTCATAATATACTTTCTTCTGGTTACTTGGCCTTAATTTGTTCTTTTTCTAGTGTCTTTTAAGACAGAAGCTGAACTCATTGATATGGGGCCATGTCCTTTTTTTTTAATGTAGTCATTTACTTCTATAAATTTCCTCCTAAGTACTGCTTTAGCACAGTCTCACAAATTGTGGTGTCTTTCTTTTAAATTTCAGTTTCCAATTTTTTCTAATTTCCTTCCTACATTTTTTTTTTAATCCAAACATAATTTAGAAGTATTTAACTTAGTTTCTAAATATTTGGGGATTTTCCAGGGAACTTTCTTTTATTGACTTCTAATTTAATCTCTGTGGTCAAAGGACATACTTTGTATGACATGAATCTCTTTGGCCCAAAATATGGGTAGTCTTAGTAAATGTTCCCTTTGCACTAAAGAAGAATGTGTATTTCGCTATTGGTATGGGGGTGTTCTATAAATATCAGTCAGGTCTTGTTCAAGTGTACTATATTTCTGGTTTCTGCCTACTTGTTCTGTCAGTTATTAAGAGAGTTATTCTATCAGTATTGGATTTGTCTGTTTTTCCTTTTAGCTCTACCAGTTTTTGCTTCATGTATTTTGTAGCTCTGTATTAGGATTGCTATGACTACTCTTGATGAATTGACTCCTTTGTCATTGTGAAACGACTTTCTTTATCCCTGGTAATTAATTGTCTTTGCTCTGAATTTACTCTAATAATATAGTCCTTCAGCTTTATTTTGACTGGTGCTAGCATGGTATATCTTTTTCCATTCTTTGACTTTTAACCTATTTGGGTATTTATATTTACTAAAGTACATTTCTTATAGATAACATAACAGTTGAGTTTTGTTTGTTTTTACAAAAAGTCAAGTCTTAATGATTTCTGCTTTAAATTCAAATGTTTAGAACATTAACATTTTCTGTGGTATTTGTTATGGTTAGCTTTGGGTCTCTCACCTTGCCATTTGTTTAAGAATAGTTTTAGACTTACAGAAAAATTAAGAAGATTGAGTACGGAGAGCTCTCAGTTCCTTCTATTTTTTTAAATCCTCACCTGTGTACATGTGTTTATTGATTTATTCTTTTGAGAGAGAGAGAGACAGACAGACAGACAGACAGACATGGATTGGTTGCCTCTCTGGGAATCGAACTTGCAACCCAGGTATATGCCCTGATTGGGAATCAAACCCTGGAGACCTTTTGATTTACTGGACAACACTCCAGCCAACTAAGCCACACCTGTGGGACAGTACCTTCTATTCTTAACAATCTTACATTATTAGTATGATATATCTGCCACAAATTCTAATCCAGTATTGGTACGTTTTACCTATTCCAGGATACCAAATTACATTTAGTTGTCATGTCTTCTTAGGCTCCTCTAGGCTGTAACAATTTCTTAGACTTTGCTTGCCTTTGATGACCTTGATAGTCTTAAGAAGAACTGGTAAATTATTTTGTGTTTTTTTTTAAAATATATATACTTTTTTTTTTTTTATTGATTTCAGAGAGGAAGGGAGAGGGAGAGAAAGATCAATGATGAGAATCACTGATTAGCCCTAGCTGGTTTGGCTCAGTGGATAGAGCGTCGGCCTGTGGACTGAAGGGTCCCGGGTTTGATTCTGGTCAAGGGCACATGCCTGGGTTGTGGGCTCGATCCCCACTAGGGGGCGTGCAAGAGGCAGCCGATCAATGATACTCTCTCATCATTGATGTTTCTCTCTCTCTCTCTCTCTCTCTCTCCTTCCCTCCCTCCCTCCCTCCCTCCCCCTTCCTCTCTGAAATCAATAAAATATATACATTAAAAAAAAAGAAAAAAGAATCACTGATTAGATGCCTCCTGCACGTCTCCTACTGGGGATCGAGCCCGCAACCCAGGCATTTGCCCTTTACTGGCATTTAACCTGGGACCCTTCAGTCTGTGGGCTGACGCTTTATCCACTGATCCATACCAGCTAGAGCTGAATTATTTTGTATGATGCTCTTCTATTCCTGGTGGAATTTGTTTGATTTTTTTTTTTCATGATCATACCAGAGTTATGGGTTTGGAAGATAAAAAGACCACAGAGATTAAGTGCCATTTTTATCCCATCATGTTCAGAATACTTAGTATCAGCATGATTTATCACTGTGATATTGACCATGACCACCTGCCTGAAGTAGGCTTATTAGTTTTCTCAATCTTAAAGTTTTCTCTTAAGGATCTGTTTATTTAGTGTTTTCAGTAGCATCCCTGTGACTCCACAATTTCTCACTTGTGACTTTGACTATCTCAAACTTTAAAGGTGCATTTATAAGGCTCTCGTGTAGGAATCGTGTGGTCTTTACAGCCTGTATGTTTATTATCCTCATCCTTGATTTTTTTGGCCTGTATTTATTTTTTCCTTATTTTGATTCTTTCTTTATATTTTATTATTGCTTTATTATCTGTGTGCTTGTAGGCTGTCTGACAATTTTTTTTAGAATTGAGACAAAGCATAAACTTGTACATATCATCATAATAAGAGGCTAATATGCAAGTAGTCGTTATGCCGTAACACCATGATGCATTAACACATTAAGCGCCCTGTCAGTCACCTGTGACTGACACTATACTTTCCGTCTGGAAGACAAAACAGGCTGGGTGCTTAAGGACTGATCAGCAGGGACCTGAGGCTGCGTGGTGCCAGGCCAGGGCCAGGGGACCTGAGGCTGTGCCCCCTGCTCCAGCGCCGGGGGACCTGAGGCTGCGTCCCCCCTGAGGTTGGCGCCGGGACGTGAGGCTGCGCTCAGCGGAGCTTGATGTGGGTGGGCCCAGCCAGGTCTTGGTGTCACCCAGTGGGGGTGGGGCTGGCCAGACACTTCTATTATAGAGAAAGGGCAAATAGCAGTATTAAAATATTTCCTCTAATTAATTCCCTTTTAATGTGCACGAATTTCATGCACCAGGCCACTAGTTATGTGATAAAAACCATCTGCTAAACTTTGGTAATAAATCTGATACTCAGATTATTTTTTGAAACTGTGTTTTTCTTTGGGGTGAGGGTTTGTGTTTTTTTTCTTTTTTGCTTCTGCTTTCCTTTTTTAATGGGTAGAACAGCATTTTTCTTATATTCTCTATACACTAAATGACTTAATATGTATATTGAAAACATTAGAATTGCTGTACTGTATCATCTGCTTGGTAAATTTTAAGCCATTTTTCCTGAGTTGATTATTTTGTATAGGAGGAAATGAGTCTCAATCAGAAAGCCAGGAAGACCCCCGAGAAGTACTTAAAAAAACATTGGAATTCTGCTTATCCAGGTAAGGACGGTAGTAGTGTTTCTAGTACCTAATACTTGTGGTATTGTGTACTGGCTATTATATACAGACTAGAGGCCCGGTGCACAAAATTCATGCACGGGTAGGGTCCCTAGAGGCTGCCGGCCAGGGCCCTCCTTCATTCTGTGCCACCCCCTGGTGGTCAGCACACGTCATAGCAAGCGATCGAACTCCCAGTCGGTCGAACTCCCGAGGGGACACTTTGCATACTAGGCTTTTATATATATAGATGTGACGCTTTACATAGAAGGAGTGTATATCTGTTACTATCTATGTCTGTATATGTCTATTAATAGGAAATCTGGAATAGTGAGTAAGTAACAACCTCCGACACGTTGAAGAACTCTAGGCCAGAGCCCTCCACAGTTATCCACAAATTTATCTTGAATCGTTATCTGGGTTGCTTTTTGAAATTTTGATTCCTGGGCCCCCTCCATACCCAGACTCTGAGTTATGGGGCCTTAGGTTGTCTGTCTTAAAAAGATATTTTTCAGCACACTAAAGTTTGAGAACACATTTCCTGTACTAGTTTTTAAAATATGCCAAATGTTGCAATAGGAGATTGTTTTACTCATGCAGCATTCATTTTTTTAGGTGTGTCCGCCCCCCGCCCCCCAAATATTTTTTCTATTGAAAAGTAGAGGCACTCTTTAATAATAAAATTTCTTCTATTTCTGACAGAAAAAGAAAAGTAGAGTAGAACATTTAAAGTTCAAATGGAAGAACGGGACAAATAAGAAGATGTAATTGAGTTAAATGTAATCTTTTGAGTGAGAAGATAACCGTTTGGCACGTGTAAAATTTTATCAGTATTAGTGATTTTTCAGTTTTTTCTCTGGGCCTGCCTTAATACTTGAGAATGTTCATCATAGGCCAAAATACCAGGAAGTAGCTCATATTCACCCAGACTGGTTATCTGTGACTTAGCTTGTGATCCTGTAAGTCATGTTATGATCAGGTTTTCTTCTTTTTAATCCTGGTTGCTAGAAAGTGCTGGGAAGTGTTTCAGACTGAACAGCAAGCACTTTGGTCACCAACCTTTCCTGGTCTTTTCTTATTTTTCTTATTTTCTTGTTCTTTCAATTGTATTTCCTTTAAAAAATTGTGTTTGTGTTTTTAATAAGCTACTTAAATACTCTTTAGAACAGATAGCTATAAAATATATTTTGTAAAGATTTACTCGCTCATTAGTTTTGGTTGTATAAAATGCAGTATACTTTTACTTTTACTCTCTCTGCTCCCCAAATGTCTTTGAAAAAAATTGACCTACGGCAAATAACAGGTGGGGTTGGGTCTAAACTAACTCTGAAGTGACGTCACGCCACACTCATATCCTTGCAAGGCTTCCTCTTAAAGAAGTGTTAATTAAGAGAGATTGTCTTCTTTCTGCAGGGAGAATCTTGCTAGTGACATGTACCTTATATCGCAGATGGATAGTGATCAGTATGTGCCAATCACCACAGTGGCTAATCTGGACCACATCAAGAAGCTCAGCACTGACCTGGACTTGATTGTCGAAGTGCTGAGATGTAAGTGAATGACAGTCTAGGATGCATTGTACCTGGTGTTGACATTTTTTTTTTACCAGTGTGACTGCTAGATCCATAGCCATTCAATGCTAAGGTCCTTCATGGCAATTGGAGTCTTCCCTGAAATATGGACGTTTCTGACCAGTCCCCATTGTGGTGAAGTGCTCACAGCACTGGGCGTTGATGGGCTTCATAATTGATCATAGATCTAGGGAGTGGAAAAGGCCCGTGGAGAAATGAAAAGAAGCTGTGACATGAAGGAAAAGTAAAATAAATGGTGCTATTTTAGTGTAAAGTAAAATACATTTTAATTAGCATTCTAGTCACTAAAGTAGTTCCTTTCAAATTTCACCTTCCTACTGAAGTTTGGTGGAATTGTGTTTTTCCTTATAGGATTTTGTGAATGAGGTTGTTTTTTAGATATTTGGCAACATCAAAGGAAGGTGTAAATGGGTACATCAGAGGCCCACAGTGATTCAGGAAATGTGAATAAAAATAGTTACCTGCCATGTGCGTCTGAAGGGTCGTGGGTTTGATTCCTGGTCAAGATCACACCTCTGTTAGAGGTTCCATGGCACCGGCCAGTGCGGGAGGCAACCAATCGATGTGTGTGTCTTGTGTTGATGTTTCTTTCTCTCTCTTTTTTCCTCACCCCCCTCTCCCCACCCCGCTCCCTCCCTTCCATCCTCTCTAGAAATCAATGAAAAAAATAATCTCGGGTGAGGATAAAATAAAAAAGTATAGTTTGCTGGTGCCCTGGTTTGTTTTGCAGATTGAGTTTTCTGCAACCTAACCATTGTATTTATTTTTTTGAAACCACTTTATTGAGGTATAATTGACATATAGTGAACTGTGCATATTTAAAATGTGCAGTTGAATCAGTTTGGACATACATATGCATCAGTGAAATCTTCACCGTGATCAAGATTACAAACATGTCCACCACTGCCCAAAGTGTCCTGGTGCCCTTTGTAATATTTCTATCTATCCCCTCCTACCCAGAATGGCTTCAGTGGGAATTAGTTTTATATTAAGTGTATGATATGTCTGATTTTTTTTAAATGGCATTATTTTTAATTATAAAAATTCAGTTTATAATATTGTTTACAAGTACTGGGTGAATCATTTCTATAATCTCCCTCCTCAGGACTGCTCTACTGAGTAGCTCTGATGGGCGTCCACAAAGAACACAGTACAATGTGCTCCCCCACCCCACCCAAATATTTCTAAATGATAATGGGTCATCACTGTGCCCGAATTAAAGCCCCATTTCTCTGAGTTACTGCCATGACTATCCATCTGACTCTTACGCAAAAGTGTTTACATATTCTCCCTGGTTTAGTTGTACTGTGGACAGCCAGTGAAGATTTTTTTTTCTTGTGTCCATTTAGTAGTAGACAAAGAAGAACATTTTATCTTACAAACATAGTTGGATTTTCTATTCACAAATGAAGGTTTTCTTCTATTTTCTGTTCCTAGGCAAATGTCATAAGGTCATTAAATTATTGAAACAAATAATGAAGAAACTGGCAAAAACATAATTCATGAAGTTTGAATTCTGAAAACTAGTGTTGTGTTTTCCAGTATTGCTTTTGTTTTGGAATGTTCACTTAGAACAGGAACCTATTTTACATATTAGTTGAGATTGGTTCCACCTGACCCACTTGTAAAGGCCAGCAGCTTTCTTTTTTTCTTTTTTAAAATATATTTTTGTATTGATTTCAGAGAGGAAGGGAGAGGGAAAGAGAGAGAAACATCAATGATGAGAGAGAATCATTGATTGGCTGCCTCCTGCACGCCCCACACTGGATCGAGCTCGCAACCCAGGCATGTGCCCTGACCGGGAATCGAAACATGATGTCATGGTTCATAGGTCAATGCTCAACCACTGAGCCAAGCCAGCCAGGCATCAGCAACTTTCTTAATCTTTACTTCTTATGAATTCAAAATGAAAAGTCATAATAAGACAGAAAATTATTTTATTTGGGGGGACTTGTAGAAAGGAAAAGCCATTAACCCTGAATTGTAATTGTTAGTTATTCGAGCTGTTTAGAACCTTTGTTTCATAGTGTTAACATTGATTATAGCTCTTATAGGACTTTTAAATCATGTTCTATAGTTCTGAGAAATGTAATATGCAAGAGTAGTTTAAAACCTTTCACTAATTTACAGTGTATACAGGTTTTTTTTCAATGTGTTTAGTTCCATAGTGTAACATCTTATTGGAGTATCTATATTATATCATAATGGAATGTAAATGACTGGTGTGTTTTAATATTTTGTTTTACCATGCATTTTTCTTCTCTTTATAGCTTTACCTTTAGTCCAAGTGGATGAGAAGGGAGAAAAAGTAAGGCCAAATCAAAATCGTTGCATAGTAATATTACGTGAAATTTCTGAATCCACCCCTATAGAAGTAAGTAATTTCTCCTCACAAGGCTACTTTGAAGTTTTTTTGTGTGGTTTTTTGTTTACTTCTGTGTTTTTTGAGGAGTGTATTTTAAAGAATGCATATGTACAGTAACACTTTTCCCAGGATTTACACACTGATGATTTCAATATGATTCATATGTGCGAGTGGTTCTCAAAGTGTTTGGTCTCAGGACTTCACTACAAACTTTACATTTTAAAAAATAATTAATGGTGATTTCAGTATTGAGAAATTAAAAGAAAAAGGTTTAAATATTTATTTACTTTAAAGTAATAATAATAAACCCACAAGATAAAGAACTTCACTTTTCAAAACATATTTTCATGACAAGGATACACTGCAAAGAGTGCAGTGAGCAAGATTAGCTTGTGCTTCATTCCAGCTGTTGGGCCCACATCAGTGCAGATGTTGTCTTAGTAAAAAGGCAAAGGCATCTTTTAAAAAAGTAATAAATGTTTTTAATCCTCACCTGAGGGTATTTTCCCATTGATTTTTAGAGAGAGTGGAAGAAGGGGGTGGGGTGGGGAGAGAGGGAAAAACAACAATATGAAAGAGACACATCAATTGGTTGCCTCCCGCATGCACCCCGATTAGGACCAGGGATCAAGCCTGCAACCAGCATACATGCCCTTGCCTGGAATCTAACCTGGGACCCTTCAGTCCTCAGGCAATGCTCTATCCACTGAGCCAAACTGGCTAGGGCATAAAGGCATCTTTTTTATGTAAATGGAGTAGAGATCATAATTTGAGAAGTTCTAACTTAGGTAATAATTTTAGAAAACCACAGCATTTGATTGAGTTGTGAAAAGTAATGTTAGAGAATTGCTATAATATTTGAGACATATCCGAATGTTTAATCTGAGTTGCATGTGTGTAGTAAAACATACTGATGGTCGTGCCTTGAGAGAATGAAGAAAAGTCTTCCTATAGAGCATTAAGAATATTTTTTATTTGATTGGAGTTTTCTCATTATAGGTTACATCATTTTTTTTTTTTCCACACCTGGTAAACTTTGAATGGATGCCAGGCATTTTGGACTGTATTGTTTTATAGTCCTTCCTCTTGAATATTCTTAAGCTTTGTTTTGAGATTCAGTTGTCTGACTTGGAAGCAGTTTCGTCCTTAGGGGCAATGGTTAGGTGGGAGCAAAGCTGCCTTTCTTCTAGAGCTGATTTCTCAATGCTGACTGAGGCAGCACCCTCTGCATGCCCTGAAGAGGGCCCTGGAGGGGCTGGACTGAGCTAGGCTGTGCTCAGCTCAGCTCACCCTCCTAGCACTGCGGCCTGTTAACTCCAGGTGTGAGCTAGGTTCTCCCAAGCTCACCTGTGTTGCATGGCCTGAGGTCCATTGTCTGAAAACTGTTATTCCACGTATTTTGTCTTTTATTTTTGTTTCATGTGGGAGGCTAAATCTGGCTTATCTTGGCCAGAAGCAAAAGTCCAGCTAATTTTCAAATTTCTTAAATCCCCAGCCTACTGGTAAAATTAAATTATATTTTGACATTAATTTAGCTTAATGGTATCTTGGGAGTAGAGAAAGCTGTCAATAAGTTGTGGACTTATGTTCCTATAGCAGTGAGACCTCAATTCTGGAAGCCACACTGAACCTCCTGAGCCATTTTGAAGGAGCAGTTCACTGGATATCAGTGTGTTAGACTCTGTCTAAGGATCTGTCTTGAGAGCATTGCATCATTTGTATTTCATGTGGACAAAAGGTGGCATGGTTGAAAATTAATTTCTAACCTTTCTATTTCCCATAGGAAGTAGAAGCACTATTTAAAGGAGATAATTTACCAAAATTTATAAACTGTGAGTTTGCCTATAATGATAATTGGTTTATTACATTTGAAACAGAAGCTGATGCCCAACAGGTAAGCTTCTCTCCCTCAAGAAGTACAAAGTTTACCAATACTTAACAATTAGGTACATAGTGGGACTAAATTTGGGCAGTGATACTGCTATCACATTTCAGGGTTAACTTTGAATATAAAGTGCAGAGGAAATCAAGTTGTAGCAACTTAAATAGGTGTGTGTTTGTAGATAGTTTTGTAGAAATATGAAAAGCAAGTGACATTATAGTCTCAGGATATGTAAGACAAGCAGCCTAGAACATTAGTTCTGTTCTTGTATCTGGGCAGAGACAGGTCTTACTAGTTGGCAAGTGTTTTGGGAAATTTGAACCTGACTTTATCTTTCACTTGGCATCACATGTGTTACAAGATACTTGAAAGAGCACCAAGGCTCTGGGAGGAGACACAGGAGTTAGGATGGTCTCCCTGCCCTGAAAGGAAGACTTTTCTCTGGGGAAACAGTAGCATGTATAAAGGAAGCTCTCAGTGTTAAATGGTTTCAATGCAGGGGGTTCAGAGGACAGAACAAGCATCTGAAAGGTGGACTTATAATTGGATTCGGGGGGGGGTTACTAGGAGGAGCAGGTAGCAAGTGGGTCAGAGCCTTCAGTGTTATGGAGTAGGATTTGGAAAAGAATAAAGACTTAAAAAAAATTTTCTTTATTTCAGAGAGGAAGGAAGAGGGAGAGAGAGATAGAAACATCAATGATGAGAGAGAATTATTGATCAGCTGCCTCCTGCACGCTCCCATACTGGGGATCAAGCCTGCAGCCTGGCATGTGCCCTGGCTGGGAATGGAACCATGACCTCCTGGTTCATAGATCAATGACCCTCAACCACTAAGCCATACCAGCCGGACAAGAATAAGGATTTTTGAATATTGCAATCCTAGTTTTTTCCTTTTCCAAACTGTAATCCCAGTTTCAAATTGTAGTTATTATTAGGAATTTAGCACCCATTCGTTGTTTCCCCTGGGTTAGGATTCTAGCCTGTGGTCTCTGGGAGCCTTTCATGTTATCTATTAATACTTACAAAATGTATACAGATGTTGTTTGTGAGAATTTTGGGTAGATATTCCATAGATCTTATCAGGTTGTTTTTTTTAAAAGGAATCTGTGGCCCAAAGAAGGTTAAGAATCACAGTTCTAGGTCTTGTCCATTGCATTTTAACGATATAATTCCTTGTCTGAGGTATTAACTGTCAATTCATCTTATTTGTAAGATTAACACAATGGTATTTTGGATGACTTTATCCTTAGGCTTACAAATATCTGCGAGAAGAAGTCAAAACTTTTCAAGGAAAACCAATTAAGGTAAGCAAGACCACTGGTTATACTTTATTTGTAAATCCATATTTTAAAGTATTCTAATAGACACTTGTTATATTTTCACACAGGCACGGATAAAAGCAAAGGCAATAGCTATAAACACATTTTTGCCAAAGAATGGATTTAGGCCCCTGGACATGAGCCTTTATACGCAGCACCGTTACACAGCGTCCTTTTACTTACCTCCCATCTATAGCCCCCAGCAGCAATTCCCTCTCTATAGCCTGATTGCTCCCCAGACGTGGTCAGCAACACACAGCTATCTTGATCCACCCTTGGTGAGTCCTGTCTTTTCTTGTCCCTTATGTGACAGTTGTGTTGTGGACACTGCACTAGATGCTTTGAAGGATAGTGAACCAGATAACGTCTACAGCTTGCTATAGAAAAACACCTTCTGGTTCTGTGGTGGGTTTTAAATTTAATTGGGAGATAAATAAGGAGCCATGTGTATTTAAAAACTTTCAAACATTGTACTCAGTCCTTTGCCCAGTTTGCTTGCCCTCCTGTCTAGCATTTCTTTTCCTAAATGTAAGGAAATGTATACCTAGTAAAACAAAGTATGATGCAAGCTCTGGGTTGGGTAGCAGGGGAGCTGTGAGCACGGGGTGGCCTGGGGGGATGGCTTTAAGGAGAACAGTGTTCTCATAGATTTCTAACAGTCAAGGATGCGTAGAAGACAAGCCATCTTGTAAGTGTTACTTCTCACATCCTCCCTATAGTCACTTGGTATAATTAATTTTTACATATTTTGAGCGCTGTTAAAGCCTGTGGTTAGAATTCATAGATTTGTAATGGGTCCAGTCCTTTTTCTTAAGCTGTTCTGGTGCAGATGTTAGAAAGATTGGGTAGGCTCTGGGCATGAGTTTGATGTAGTGGATGTGTCAGGGCTAATCTACAGCAGGAAAAGAAGTGGCCATTGCCCCCCTGCCTGGGAGGTAGAGTGGGTTGGTTGGAGGGAGGTTTGCATTGGGTTCCCAGCAGGTTTTGTTGGAACCATAGCGATGGAAGAGTAGAGTGTGTGGAAGGTTGTAGTCAGAAGCAAGAATTGAGTTTAAAATTTCAGGGATATGGCTGTGGACCACATCAAGGAAAATTGGGATGATCCATCAGCTGTGTGGGAAATGAAGGATGTGAGCCATGCCCAATCATATGGGATATTACCTGAGGCTTGTTAACACTGATTGATGGATGCAAGGAGGGTGGTAACTGAAAAGGGTGAGCCTGAGAGAAGGAGGGTAGACTCAGCTGGATGGTGGGTGCCTGTTACCTACTAGAATGTAAAGATGTGTGTTCATGAAGGAATAGTCTGGAAAAAACAAATGTGTAAAGCAGGTGATTATTGCAAAAATGGAACAGAGGCAGAATTCTGTGAAACTTATAAGTAGGGGTTTATCAGATATAATGTCATCCTCTAAGTGGAGCATATCAGAAGGGCTGGAAGGGGAAGGAAGCTGCATGAGAATGGCATGTGCAGAGGTTCCTGGGGTGGTTGTGGCGTGGTGAGTGTTTCTGAGCTGAGATGGGGACTGGGTAGATGAGCTTTGTAAGCTCTACGTGTACAGGTTCTTAAATGTGTCTTGAGGTGTGTGGACTGCATCTGTGGTGTGTGGGACATGAGCAAGACAGATGGGGAGAGAGACGAGTCAGGAGAGGTCCTTATGGGCGCTGAGCTCCTGAAGTCTAGAACCACTCAGTGAAAGACAGTGGCAGACAAGTGCTAACGTGCAAAATTGTGTCTGCCTCTGAATGAATCCTAATGTTAAGAAAATGTACTACTTTTTTGAAGTATTTACTATATTCTATACAAGTTAATATGTCACGGGAGACCTGTAAAAGGAAAGAAAGTCCGTAACCTCTTGTGTTGAATAATTTCTCCAAAAGATGCCACCGCCATGCTTATGCTGTTTAGTTCTTGAGTTAGATTGTGTTTCTACTTTATATAGTAATACGTATCCCCATCCAGAGTGGGGTGCTTTGGGATTCTAGATCAGTTGTCTGGCCATTTGGGATGGCTCCTGGTCTGATATGTGAGGCTCTTTGCTTGCTCTAAAACACTGCATTTTTGAGCACAAGTAAAGAGATGATGCTTATTAATTCTCAGAAAGTTATGTTAAATTACTGTGTTAGCAAGCAATTTATTTTTAAACTCTTGAGCAAAATTGTTTAAATACCAGAGTTCTACATGTAAAAGTTCATACGTGAAAGGATTCCTCTTGATGAGTCTTCCGATGAAAAACAATCATCAGAATCTAGTTTTGGGGTGATTGACATATTTCTAAATAGTATGATTCTTTCAAATTGCGGAATTTCTCGTTATTGCATTGGGGATTCTGTCAAAGTTTCAAGTCTGTCTCTCTCCACCAGCGTTTTGAGGAATTCCATTAAAGTCATTGGGGTTAAGGAGAAATTTGCTGACTTCTTATCAGTCTGGAGATAGTGTTGCAGTCATTAGGTTGAGCACTTAGTGTTTACAGACAAGCATGTGGGGTCTTGGCAGGTGCTTCCCTCTCTTGTCAGTTTCCATGTGTGGGGATCCTCTTCCTGGAGGCTTGCTGGGAGGATCATTTGAAACAGCCTTGGAAAAGGTCTTAGCCCCAGCCTGACTTTGGCCATTAGCAATAATCTTACACAGTGCTTTTCCTAAAGGAATATATTAAGTATAAAATGGAACATAGACTCCTTGACACATCAAGGAATGACATGTGTTACCATCTTAGGCAGTGTTAACCAACTCGAAGTCTGGTTATGGTTTGTTGACTTGTTTTTGTTTTTAATGAATCTAGGTAACTCCATTTCCAAGTACTGGATTTATAAATGGATTTACGTCTCCAACCTTCAAACCCACAGCAACTCCTCTGGCTTCACTCAGACAATACCCTCCAAGAAGCAGGCAAGTTGCGTGAGTCACTAAAATGCTGTTTTTCTACCATTTGTAATAACAGGTCACTGCCACACTGTATATTTTAAAAGCAAAGCAAAACAAAATGTATTAAACCTTGGTCGTTCTAACCATGTGCATGACTCCTGTTTAACTAAGAGGCTGTTCCTGATGATTGCTAATGATATACTTGACCACTGTAGTAATGTTCATCCAAGATAAAACTACTTGAAACATGATTACTCAAAATGATGCTGTAGTGCCTACATACAGGGGGTTCTCTTTAGACAAAGTCTTCTGGGGGCAGCGTGCAACCATGTGAGCCTGCTTTTCATTTGAAAATTGATACTGTAGTTATAGGTTTGCACTGTCAGCACCATCCAACATACCATGCGTCAACTATTCTTACCACTTTAATATTTTTTCTAAATAGAGAGCACATTTTACCTTAGACATTCCTGTGTGAGCATGCTCATTTCATCATGCTGTGATCATTCATAATTGAACCTTTATAAACATTTCATTCGCAGGAATCCTAGTAAATCCCATCTGCGCCACGCCATTCCTAGTGCAGAGAGAGGATCTGGGCTGTTAGAAAGTCCATCAATATTTAACTTCACCGCGGATCGGTTAATTAACGGTGTGCGGAGCCCACAAGCAAGGCAGACAGGCCAACCTAGAACCCGCATACAGAACCCTCCAGCTTATGCCAAGAGAGATACAGGAACCGGGCGGGTGGAGCAGAGCAGTCTTGAATCCTCTCCTGGTTTAGGTCGAGGCAGGTGAGTTACTCAGAACTGTTGTTGGATGGGTACTATGTAATGATAAACTGTTAATATTTTTAAATTCCATTAATTGAGATGTTTTTTATAATCATTACTTTCAAATACATCACAGAAAATTAAATTGAAGGCTCTAACCATCAAAGGTTTCATATAGTTACTCAGAGGGGTTAGTTTTTTAAAAAATATTTTTTTTTTATTGATTTCATGGAGGACAGGAGAGATAGAAACATCAATGATGAGAGAATCATTAATTTGCTGCCTCCTGCAGGCCTCCCCTGGGGAATTAGTTTGTTCTCTCAGTGGTTTATTCGATACAAGATGTCAGGAAGGAAACTCCCTCGTACAGATAACTAGCTGAACTTGCCTAAGGTGTTTTGGTGTGTTTTTTTAAACCGAAGGCTCCCAAGTTTGATTCTGGTCAAGGCCAAGGCTGTATCCACTGAGCCAAACCAGCTACGGCCAGAGGGGTTACTTTTAGAGCAGAGACCTAACTGGTCACATCTTTGTTGTAATGTAAACTATGGATGGAATGGAACCATGTTAGGTTACAGTCATTATTTGTGGAGATGTTCAAGCAGAGTAGATACCAGACTCCACAATATGTGAGCCTCAGTCTCCTTCCATTCCTGCCCATTCAAAGGGCCCACATTTTCTGTTCTAGTCTTGCTCCTTTTTCAGCCAACAGGATCACACAATAGACAGATAATGAGTTGTGTAGCCAGGCAGACAAGAGTTTAGATTCCATTAGTACTAAGTTTATTTGCCTGTTGGTCATATTTAGGGGTGATTTCCATCCCTGGGTGTTCAGTCAGGTAATGTTGGTCCCACAATGTCTGTGATTATTATCTGGATCGTTACCGCATCCTAATAGTGGGCTGTGTCCACTCTCTTTTCTCCTTTCCTTTGATGCATGCAGCTTGTTGCTGCTTGCTGTCTTACCTTCTGCCACTTGCACTCTATTAGAGGGGTGAGATTAAAAAGATGGAAGTGAGTCCAGGGCGTGTGTTCCGTCACTACTCTCTTGCCCGAGACTGGCAGATTGAAGCTGGCTTTATCCAGTTTGTTCTCTCAGTGGTTTATTTGATACAGGATGTCAGGAAGGAAACCCCCTCTTACAGATAACTAGCTCTACTTGCCTAAGGTGTTTTTTTTAAACTACTTTGAATACTTTAGATGAACCTTTTTTTAAGTGTTTCATACAGCATGTACAGTAGTGTCTGACATGCAAAGACTCCAGTGACATTGGTTCCTCTTTCTTCTTGACTCAACAGGTGCTTCCAGTGCAGGTTCAGGGTGTGAGGGACCAGAGGCAGTCCATTGTATTTATGGTGGTTAATCCGTATGGCTAGGCCTTGGAGGGGTTATAGGATAAGAGTTAGAATGGCTGATGACAGCATCCTGCAGAACTGTCATGGGACTGCATATCTTCAAGAAATTTGATATAAAGTTAGTTCAGCAGGTATTGGAGGGCCGAAAGGCAAAGAGGGACACTGAGGAAATACAGACTTCAGGAAGCAGCTGCTACCCATAGGGCAGGGGGACATTGAGAGTGTTTGGGCTTATCAGACTGAGAAGCTTGGAGCAGGACTTGTGGAGCTGAAGCCAGACCCTAATGAGGGGCCTATCATGCTGCTAGAGGGACAATGCAAAAAAATGCCACCAGATAGACAGGTTTCCAGCTCCTCTCCTTTTCTGTCTACCTGTAATGCTTACTGTTAAGAAAAGCTCCTGGCAATGGAAAGACAGGGCCTGAGGAACACCTGCCCAGGGTCATACACAGGTTAAAGGGACCCGGAGCTGAGACGATCTGGTTGACCAGTGCTATCCAACTGTGGCCACATGGATATGTATAATCCTCCCACAGCACTCAACTTCCAAACTACAGCAGTGATGAGTTAATGTCTTTGCCCAACAATTAGAGACTCCCATACAAATCCTCTGTACCCCGAGGACTGCGACTACCACTAGCAAGACATCAGGAGAAAGGAGTTGAGCTGGTGTCCAGCAGTACACATGACACACAAGGAAAAGCCAGTCAGGAAGCCTGGTTATACTGATAGGTGGCTCCTTCCTCTTCCTCAACATTTCCTTTGTCTCTAGACAAGCCTTCCGGCACTCAGTGCTTCAACTGGAGGGTGATCCTGTAGTTCCTGAGCCATGGTGGCTGTGTCCCCCATTAGTGCTCTCCTTTTTCTGGTTTTTGTTTTGTTTCCCATTAACTTTATGTGTTGGGCTTAAGGAGCAGTGCAAGGCATCCCAAGGACCACACATGGTTCTTCAACCCCCTTTGTAGCAACAGCCTGCAGAGCAGTCACCCAGTCAGGTGCAGTGGCAGGAGGAATCCCAGCTGAGCAGACGCTGACTGTTATGTCACTGGTGAGAGCATTCTGCTCTGTTGACCAACACAGCCAAACCACCAGAATTCAAAGTTGTGGGCACAGGAAGTAGAAATTGTGCTGGTAGAATATTGGCTGTGCTCTCTGGTGGCTGGACCTATGTGCTGCCATGGCCTAAGCTTGGTCATATGCAAAGCATATGCTGCTCTCCTGAATTAGGGCCATCCTCTGAGGGTGCTGCTGGCCCCTAGCCTTGCAGCTGAGTGTTCACTCAACCAGCCTGCTCCCCATATTGGGGCACGCACCACTTCTGTTGCTATGGGATGGGCCTCTGGGTCTGACTAACACTGCATGGGCACTAAGGTGGCATCTCCTTAGGTCCACTGAGTGGTGCTGATGGGGCGATGGCAGGCAGAAATGCTGCCTCCTCCAGGATGGGGCAGGGCTAGCACCACTAAGAGGATGATAAACAGGCTAGCCTTGGCACCAGGATCCCAAGTGTGACTATTGTGTACCTGGGGTGACCAGGAAGAGGCTGGCTGGTCACCACCTTTTTTCTCCCAGCTGTCAGAGGTCTCTGCTAAAGTGGATGATTTCAACACAGATGCCTTCACAGTGTTCCTTCCATAAGACTGCCAAGGTCTTCTGTCACCAGACTTTGAGTCTTGGACTTTGTGGGTCTATCATACAGCCAGATCCTTAGCTCCTCTGCTCAAGAACCAATAAACATCTGTATTTTCATTTCTGTAACCAGACACAGTGGATAACAAATATGTTGCTTGAAGTTCTGCCCTCCGTAGTTGATCCCCCTGTACCCTAGGTTTTGGAGGCACTCCTGAGGCGATCTGACACTGTATGGCCAGGTGTGGAACTCCTCCCCCCTTGTCCCTGTGCTGAAGGACTCCCCACAAGGGACTGATGCACAGAACTGGAGCCCTGGTTCTGATGTGCTACTTCTGCTGCTAGTGGGTGCTAGTGCTTGTGCCTATCTCCATGGCTCAGTGCCCCATCATGATGGGTGGCTCAAGTCCATGGTCACTGATGTCTACAGTCAGGCTTTTATTTTATTTTAAATACATTTTTATTCATTTCAGAGAGGAAGGGAGAGGGAGGGAGGGAAGGAGGGAGGGAGAGAGAGAGAGAGAGAGAGAAAGAAATATCAATGATGAGAGACAATCAGTGATCAGCTGCTTCCTGCATGCCCCCTACTGGTGATGAAGCCTGAAATCTGGGCATGTGCTCTGACTGGGAATTGAACTGTGGCCTCCTAGTTTATAGGTCAATGCTCAAACACTGAGCCACACCAGCCACGCTACAGTCAGGCATTTAGGCTCTACTAGGAGCCAGTTCCATTTTGATGATAAATCCAATACATTTTATCATCATTCTCTAACAATTCACCTGTGTAGTTCAGTGTCAGATTTTACACATCCTGTCATTCCAACTGAATGGATGTTCAAGATTGATAATCATAACAAAAATTTGAAATAGCCACTAGGAATATTCTTTTAATATTTTTATTTTCCAATCTAGACATCATTTTTAGTCCTTTACTATATAGTTTTTGTTTCTTTTGCTTATACTTCTTAAGGTTGGGATTTTGAATCAAAAGTCATTATAAAAGAATACAAAATCATTAAGATTAAATATGTGTGCTCTTACATGTGCCCAATGAAAAATGTTCCAAGTGGGAATCATCAGAGAGATGCAAATTAAAACTGTAGTGAGCCCTGGCTGTTGTGGCTCAGATGGTTGAATGTTGTCTTGTGCACCAAAAGGTCACTGGTTCAATTTCTGGTTGGGGCACATGCCAGGGTTGAGGGCTCACTCCCTGACAAGGGGGCGTGCAGGAGGCAGCTGATTAATGTTCTGCTCTTGCATCAATGTTTCTCTCTCTCTCACTCTCTTTTTCTCTCTCCCTTTCTCTCTAAAATCAAATTTAAAAATGTTTTTTAAATTAAAAAACAAACTTACAATAAGGTATCACTTCACACCTTACCAGAATGGCTACCATCAATAAATCAACAAACAAGTGCTGGTGAGGATGTGAAGAGAAGGGAACCCTGGTGCACTTTTGGTGGGAATGCAGACTGATGCAGCCACTGTAGAAAATAGTAAAATGGAACTGCCATTTGGCTCAACCATTGCATTTTTGAGAATATATCCTAAGAATCCCAAAACACCAGTCAAAAAGAATATATTCACGCCTGTGTTTATAGTAGTGTTATTTATAATAGCCAAGATCTGGAAACGGCACAAGTGCCCATTAGTAGATAAGTGGATGGAAAGACTGTGGTACATTTAGACAATGGAATACTATGTGGCTATTGAAAAAAAAGGACTCTTAACTTCTTGTAACAGCATAGATGGACCTGGAGATTATTGAGCTAAGCAAAATAAGCCAGTCAGAAAGACAAATACCATATAATCTCACTAGTATGTGGCATCTAATGAACAAAACAATCTGATGAACAAAATAGAAACAAAGGCATGGATACATGGATCAGACTGACAAATGTCAGAAGGGAGGGAGGTGGGAGGTACTGGATAAAAAAAGGTGAAGAGATTAGCCAAAGAGCATACATTCATAGCCCATAGACACAGACAACAGTGGTGAAGGCCAAGGGAGAGGGGGATGCAGGTGGGCAACATGGGGTGGGGAATGAGGGACATGTGTAATAGTGTCAACAACAACAAAAAGCTCCAAGTGGGAAAAAATTAACTGTTTTGCTTTTCTCTCCTCTAGGAAAAATTCCTTTGGTTACCGGAAGAAAAGAGAGGAGAAGTTTACAGTGAGTACATCAAGCTTGTGGTATTTTTGCAAGACATTTAAATATAATTTATATTAAGCAAGCATGAAATGTAATTGCAGTTACATTAAGAATAAATGTTAAGATGTAATAAGGAGCATTTTAAAAGAAGTTTTCTTTTTATGTCATATCCATGAAGTGATCGCTGATATTTTTGATGTTCTAATGGGGAGAAGATGGTAGCTAGTTTTCTGAGGTAGTACATGATGCATGTGTGTGCATGTATTGTGCAGTAGGTACAGCCAGAACATACTATGCACATGATGTAGTCTATCAGCAGGCGTCCACATGAGTCCTTGCGTGTGGTTAACTATATAGTACTAGTGGCCCAGTGCACGAAATTCGTGCACGGGAAGGGGGGTTGTCCCTCAGCTTGGCCTGCACCCTCTCCAATCCTGGACCCCTTGGGGGATGTCTGACTGCCAGTTTAGACAACTGGCAGTCAGACATCCCTCTCGCAATCTGGGACCACTGGTTCCTAACCGCTCGCCTGCCTGCCTGCCTGCCTGATCGCCCCTAACCGCCTCTGCCTGCTGGCCTGATTGCCCCTAACTGCCCCCCTGCTGGCCTGGTCACCCCCTAACTGGTCCCCTGTCGGCCTGGTCGCCCTCTAACTGCCCCCCCTGCTGGCCTGGTCGCCCCCTAACTGCTGCCACCCCCCACCCCTGCCGGCCTGGTCGCCCCTAACCGTCTCTGCCTCAGCCCCCACTACCGTGGCTATCTAATTAGCATATTACCCTTTTAGTATAGACAATTTAAAGTAACTGGGCTTGTTCAGTTTGGCAAACAGAATAAACTTTTCCCATGTGGAAAATACTTCACCCATCTTTTTCCTTCAAAACACTATGCAGAAGGCATCATTGCCTCTGCTGTAACTTATGGTGGTGGGCATGTGAGGCCGGGTCCTGTCTTCTTGGGTGATGACAGTTCAGCCTATGCATAGTTCTCTACTGAGCTTTGTGGAGTGCTAATATGGTGCGTTTCCACACAAGTGGTGGAGAACATCTTGGTAGTACGCAGGAAGACATGAGGGAAGGAATGGTGTTTCCTAGACTTGCAGGTGTAGAATAAACTCCACACTTGGCAAAGACAGGAAAATTATTGGTCCAGTCCCCTGAGTCATCCAGTATGTACTCTCCCATTACAGAAGATGTGTTTTCTTTGGAACTTAGAAAGTGCAAATTAGTCATAATTTCCATAATTCTGTGTTATAGCTGATTTAGTCTAGTTTTTAGTGAACCCTTTGGTGAGGCAATTTATATCAGCTGATTTCAGTTGGAATTAATGATTCCTGTAATGCAGGGATAGGGAATGTATAAGGCCCTCAATCATTTGGTCTGTCCCTGCCAAGGCATTAGGGGTGAGTTAATTAAATGTTTGACCAAATATAGCAGACTAATTTTTAAGCTAACCATGTTGTATGGCCTTCGAATCCTATATAATAAAAGTGTAATATGCAAATCAACCGAACAGTGGAATGACTGGTCGCTATGATGCGCACTGACCACCACTGGGCAGATACTCAACATAGGAGCTGTCTGCAGGCCCCAATTGCCCGGTTGGGGCCTGCCGGCCAACCTCTCAGGTTCCTTCCCCTGGCCATCAGGCTCCGATCGCCTAATGGCGAACAGGGAACCGGGGGTAGGTGGCAGCGGACGCTGGTGGCACCATGCCAAGCCCCCCCCCCCCCCGTTGCCCCACACATAGAGGGCAATTCACAGCAGGGACAGGGCTGGCAAACGGGCGGGAACGGCCAACGTCTTGGTCCCTCCCCCTGACCAGCAGGCTCTGATCGCCCGATGTGAACAGGGACCCGGGGGTGGGGGCTGGGGCTGGCTGCCAGCAGCCAGGGAAGATGGCCCTGATTGCAGGCCAGGCCTAGGGACCATACCCATGCACGAATTTCATGGACTGGGCCTCAAGTGATGTTATAAGTATCCAAATGACACTTGGCAGAAAAGGTTCCCCACCCTTGCTGTTATGTTTAAACTAACAAGACTATCATCTGTATCTCTTCAGAGTCTAGTTATCTTACATGAGTTACTCCCATTGCTCACTCACTATATCACCTAAAAAGAAATTTTCTCTCGTTGCCATTTCTGTTTCATTTTGTTCCATGTTCCTGATTAACATGTTCATACCTGGGGAACCTCTTAGAAGCCCAGGCACGTAACACAGTTATACTTGTTAAAGAGATTGCACCTGTTGGTGCACATTCTGATGATTTCAGAAATCTAGAAACATAACATACAGGTGAGTGTTGGGCCTGACCAAACCCATAGGACTGGGGCAGCATTCATACTTCACGTAAAGCCCATCAGATGCTAAAAAATGTTAGACACCTACCTTCCAGAGGAAATCCCATCCTTAGGTCCTGTCATTGTGTACCTTCTTGTGTCTGGCAGTTGCCTGTCTCTTTTGTCCCTAAAAATAGTGATGTAAATTTTTGTGAAGTCTTTCTCCTTAGAAATGCTTATCTTCTGAAAACATGAAGATCTATAAAAACCTGAAAATTGCTTTGAGATCATGGTGTCTATGCATAGCCTTCTAGGTTTGCTGAATTACAGAGACCATCATGGCTCCTGTTAGCTAGTGCAAGCTCTACTCCAAGGACTCATGACTGAACAGAGTGAGGCTCGACTCAGTGCCTGCACTGTAATGAAGGAGAGTGGCTGGCAGGCTGCCCAGAGGAGTCATGGGATTGCTGCCACCTCGTATCCATGTCATCCTTAATCTGCTCTTACATGAGTTCTAACAGATTTTCTCCAGATTCTGCTTCTGGAGGAAATGATCTTCCTATTAGTATTAGTATAAGTTTCTGGGGAGTATCAGCCCTTCGAAGTTATGAGAGCATTGTATCCAAAGTGGCTAACATTCAACAAAAATACCACCTAAATAGAAACTTCATTTCCTTTCTGTTCTGTTCCTTTATGCCTTCAGCCAAGGACCTGAACACCTACAAAATCTAGCTTATTAAAACAGGTTGATTGTTGTTTTTCAATAAAATTATATCATTGCCTTTTTCCTGAGAGCTTGGGCTTATGATTTACACTTGGATATTATTCTGCTGAATTTACTTTCTTGACGTCAGGAATGTAATAATACCATATTTTTACGTAGGGATTTAAAAAGACAGTATTTCCATAAGTTTATTTTCAGACTGGAGGCCCTGTGCATGAAATTCGTGCACTTGGGGCGGGGGGCGTTCCCTCAGCCTGGCCTGCGTCCTCCCTCAGTCCGGGAGCTGTCAGTTGAACATCCTTAGCACTGCCGCGGAGACGGGAAAGGCTCCTGCCACTGCGCTCGCCAGCCGTGAGCCTGGCTTCTGGCTGAGTGGCGCTCGCCCTCCTCCATTGAGCATCTGCCCCCTGGTGGTCAGTGCACATCATAGCAACTGGTCGTTCCACTGTTTGGTCAATTTGCATATTAGCCTTTTATTATATAGATAACTGATCCCCCCCCTTTTTTTTGTTAAACCATTTTTTTTCCCTAATGGAAATCTTTCATACATAAGTTGTAGAAAGTTGGAAGAGTGGCCTTGTTTTTTGTTTTTTACTGTCTTTTATGACCTAAATTACACACTGTTTCATAATACAAAATTTGTATGGAGATGAATAGGTTAATGTCTAGACCAGGGGTGGGCAAACTTTTTGACTCGAGGGCCACAATGGGTTCTTAAACTGGACCGGAGGGCTGGAACAAAAGCATGGATGGAGTGTTTGTGTGAACTAATATAAATTCAAAGTAAACATCATTACATAAAAGGGTACGGTCTTTTTTTTTTTTTTAGTTTTATTCATTTCAAACGGGCCGGATCCGGCCTGCGGGCCGTAGTTTGCCCACGGCTGGTCTAGACTCAGGCTACTCTGATTTTTGACAGTGGGGTCCACTTGTTCCACAGCGTCTTCCTTGTCCATAGCTATCACTTTGTGGCTTACCTGTGTCCTGCACAGTCTGTGTCGGCCCACTGTACCAGGGACCAGAGGGTATTGGTCATAGAGAAGCAGCTTCGCACAGCAGTAACCTTTAAGCCTTAAGGGCTCAGCTTTACAGCTATGCTCTCAGTGGTGGAAGTTGCCTTCTAAGTGACTTGACCTACTAAGTGACCTTTGACTAGGTGACAAAGTTGTTGTGGTCAGATTATGTTTGTCTTTTCAGATAGTTGTGGAAATCAGAAGATTAGAGAACTGATTATTGCCTTACTATTCTGGTGTGTTTCTTAGCTCTGTACTGTCTACACTTGTGCGACTTTGTGGTGTTGTTCTTTTTCAGAGGAGTCAGACCCAATCTCCAACGCCACCAAAACCTCCATCCCCAAGTTTTGAATTGGGGCTGTCTAACTTTCCCCCGCTGCCTGGGGCAGCAGGCCACTTGAAGACTGAGGACTTGTTTGAAAACAGGCTGTCTAGCTTGCTGCTAGGATCAAAGGAAAGGGTAAGATACATGTCACAAGCTTAATTGTTGCTAGCATTTACTAAGCATTAATTTCCTAACAGGCACTGGGCTGAGCTCTTTACACACACAATTTTTTTCACAGGCAGAGGAGGTTCAGAGAGGGTAAAGGATTTTCAGAGGCCACACAAATTTTGAATGGTAGGGTCAAAGCTGAACCCAGGACTGGAGCCTGCCTCTTAGTTCCCAGTCTGCCAAGGTTCAAGGGAGAAACCTGTGCCATGGTGTGCAGTTTAGATGCTTTCTCTCACCCAGAAACTCAGATTGCATTTTTATTATTGCTATTCAGGACTTGCATTTTTTCAGAAGAATAAAACAGAAAAACCTGGATTATACCAGAAGTAATATAATTTTTAGTAAACTACATGAATAACAAGAAGCCTGAAACAACTTTAATACTGGTGGCTTTTGGTGAGCTCTGTAGGCTCCAGACGAGCTGCTTTCAGTCCTATGTGATTACGATCCCAGGAATCAGCTTGTGCTACTGAAGTCACACAGAATTCTTTTCCAGCACTCCTCCTGGGATCTGCTATAGTTAATGAGGTACAGAGAGCTTTGTGCTGCTGCCAGGAGTAATCCCCTTATGTATTTTCCAATGGAAACCCATTCCATGTCATTCCCAGATGTCAGGCATCAGAACACCCTGCCCCTTGGATTGGAGAAGGCTGCATCTAGACTATCTACACTCAGGGCAACCTTGAAGCCCATCAGTCACCAAGCTGAGGCTTACATGGGATTTATAGCCAGTTTTTTCAGTCCTCTTTATGCTGGTATGTGATTACTGCTCCTGTTTTTAACCTTTAAGGTTATAATATCAATCACATATTAAACTCGTGCATTATTCTAAACTTTTAGAATAATGTTTTGTGCATTATTCTAAACTTTTTAAAAAATATGTTTGTATTGATTTTTGGGTAGAGAGGAAGAGAGAGGGAGAGAGAGATAGAAACATTGATGAGAGAGGCACATTAAACAGCTGCCTCCTGCATGCCCCCTACTGGGGATTGAGCCCACAACCTGGGCATGTACCCTGACCAGGAATTGAGCCCAGGACCTCTTGGTCCATGGGACAATGCTAAGTCCTCTGAGCCACACCAGCCAGGCGCATTATTCTAAACTTTTAAATAGTAATTTCTGCGTTCTAAGTGCCTCATAGAATGAAGTGCATTTTAAAGATTGTGGTCTAGTTTTCAGACTGACTTTATTGCCCCCAGTGGTGGACAGAGCAAGCTGGCCTATCAATTATTCTTATATTTAAGTTTCTGTGTAAGATTTCTTTGGAAGAAAGAATTGCTACTTTAAAAAAGTCAGAGCCTGATTCCATGGCCAGGTGAGAGCCTGCATCCCTGCTTATTTTGGGAGCACCTACAATAGTTTTTTCTATCTCTGTGACCCTTGAGATTCAGAGCTGGTGGGGAGGGGACTTAGCAACTGTGCAGGAGCTTGGGGAAGGCCTCACATTTGATGTGCTGGTCACATTCTGACTCCTTACATTCCAGTGTGTCAGGATCAAACAGATCCTTGATAACAGATTTTCCAAAAAAGGAGGTATTTCCCTTTCCCACATTTCCACCAACCTTGAATACAAAGTAATAAAAGATGGTGGTTCTCAGGGAGGCTGCACGTGTCTGCTCACCCCTGCTGGAGGCAGAGGAGTATAGATGTTACTGTTCTATTCATCTCCCTCAGCACTTTTCTGTTTAGTTTAGTTCTGAACCTTTTGTCTACTTTGAAAAGTACAATTTTAGGAAATGTCTTTTTACACTTGATCTCCCTTCCAATTATTTATTTACTCTCTTGCCTTTCTTATTAATTGCACATCATGAAGAAGACAGCGTGTATGAGCTGTCACTGTGTACAGGGGTGGGGTGGGTGTCAGTGGCTGGAGATCTGGTATCAGGCTTTGCTTTATGACCAGGGATGATTAATTTAAAAGTTCTGAGTTCAGTTTATTCCCCTGTTAATTGAGAAAGTTAACACATCACTCCCTGGGATTGTTTTTGTGGTGTTATTTTTTTTTCTTTTTAAATTTTTTATTTTCTTATTTTTAAAATCTTTATTGTTGAGAGTATTACAGATGTCCCTCTTCTTTCCCACCATTGCTCCCCCCGCCCCCCGCCCCCCACCTGGTTCCTGCCCCGTCCCAGGCCTTCACCACCCTATTGTCTGTGTCCATAGGTAATGTATATATGCATATAAGATCTTTGGTTAATCTCTTCCTGCCTTCCCTCCCCCCCTTTCCTCTGAGATTCATCAGTCTGTTCCATGTTTCCATGCCTCTGATTCTATTTCTCTCACAAGTTAATTTTATTCATTAGGTTTCTTGTTCATTTATTTTGTTTTCTAGATTCAGTTGTTGATAGATATGTATTTACTGCCATTTTATTGTTCATATTTTTTACCTTGTTTTCCCCTTCTTCTTCCTAAAGAATACTCTGCAACATTTCATGTAATACTGGTTTGGTGGTGATGAACTCCTTTAGCTTTCTCGTCTGTGTAGCTCTTTATCTGACCTTCGATTCTAAATGATAGCTTTGCTGGATAGAGTAATCTTGGTTATAGGTTCTTGCTATTCATCACTTTGAATATTTCTTGCCACTCACTTCTTTCCTGCATAGTTTCTGTTGAGAAATCAGCTGACAGTCCTATGGGTGCTCCCTTGTAGATAACTAACTGCTTTTCTCTTGCTACTTTTAAGATTCTGTCTTTGTCTTTAACCCTTGGCATTTTAATTATGATTTCTCTTGGTATGGGCCTCTTTGGGTTCCTCTTGTTTGGGATTCTCTGCACTTCCTAGGCTTATAAATTTGTTTCTTTCACCAAGTAGAGGAAAATTTCTGTCATTATTTCTTCAAATAGGTTTTCAATATCTTGTTCTCTCTCTTCTTCTGGCACCCCCATAATTGAATGTTGGTACGCTTAAAGTTGTCCCAGAGACTATCTTCATATTTTTTTATTCTTTTTTCTTTTCTTATTGGATGTTTTTGGTTTCTCATATTTCAAATTGTTGATTTGATTCTCAGAATCCTTTACTATTTAATCCCTGTAAATTATTTTTTATTTCAGTTAGTGTATACTTAATTTCTGACTGGTCCTTTTTCATGTCTTTGACATTCTCATAAGATCCTTGAAAGTCTCACTAAGTCCTTTGAAGCTCTAATGAAGATCTTTGAGCAACCTTATAACTGTGATTTTGAACTCTGAATCTAGTCATTTGCTTTCTTCCATTTCTTTCATTTGTGACCTGTTTCTTTGTCTCTGCATTTTGGCTGCTTCCCTGTATTTGTTTCTGTGTATTAGGTAGAGCTGCTATATCTTTTGGAATTGGTGGAGTGGCCTTATATAGTGGGTGTCCTGTAGGGCCCAGTGGCTTAGCCTCCTCAGTCACCTGAGCTGAGCACTCTAGGTGTGCCCCTGTGTGGGCTGTGTGCACAGTCTTGTAGTTGAGTCTTAATTGCTGTTGGCATCACTGGGAGGAATTGACCTCCAGGCCAATTGTCTGTGAGGACCAGCTGCAACTACAGTGGGAGAGCTGCTGTGCAGGAGAAACCACTCAGTCTGCCCCTTGAGTGTTTTGCTTGTGGATGTGTAGAGTTGTAATCTGGTATAGTCTGAAGCTTTCCACCAGGTGCACTGGCTCTGGGGCCATCTGACAGGAGCTACAGAGAGATCTGCAGATGGCTGCTATTTGTATTGGGTTTAGAAGTGCCAAGGCGAGGCTCAGCTGTGAAGTAAGTCAGGCTGATGCTAGTGCTGGGTCTTCTATTGATACTTTAACGTATGCTGACACCAGCTGTACCTTTTTTGAGGGATTTTATGGAAGTCTGAAGCCTGAGCCAGGACAGGCCATTCATATGGAAAAGTGGCTGCAAACAAGCTTGGGTGGGGCTACAAATTGGATGGAGCAGGGTCTCAGGGAATCACCGGGGTGGAGTGAACATTTTGAGCCAGGCTGATGGAGACTCATATATGGCTGCCAGTCAGCTCTGAGGTCCCAGCACAGGAACAGTGACCCCTGCGAGCACTGTTGTCTGGGAGAAAACTGCCCCCAGTTCCTGGTGCCATCCCGATGCCAGATAATCCAGTTCCTCCCCGTATGTGTCTGGATTCCCCAAAGCTGCCTGGTGCTGGAGTTCAGAGTCTGAGTAAGTTCATGCACTGGTCCTTTAAGAACATCTGGGTGTCCAGCAGTCTCCATGTCCCTCAGCCACTATCCCCATTGGTTTTTACAGCCAAAGTCAGGGGGACTTCTCTTCCCAGCTCTGGAACCCTGGGCTGGAGGTCTGGTTTGGGGCTGGGACCCCTTGCTCCTTATGGGCTGCCTCCACAGGCCCTCCCGATTACATAAACTGCACATTTAGGAGTTACCTGCTTGGTCCACACCTCCTCCCCTCCTACCAGTCTCAGTGTGCTTTCTTCTTTACTTCTCTACTTGTAGGACTTCGATTCATCCAGCTTTCAGGTGGTTCTGAATAAATGATGGTGGTTCTGTATTTTAGTTAGAATTTTTTAAAGCATTTTTTTTTATTGATTTCAGAGAGGAAGGGAGAGGGAGAGAGAAAAACATCAATGATGAGAAACAATCATTGATGGGCTGCCTTCTGCCCACACTGGGGATTGAACCTGGAACCCTGGACATGTGCCCTGACGGGGAATCAAACCATGACTGATTGATAGGTAACTGCTCAACTGTTGAGCCATGTCAGCTGGGTGTTGGTTGTAATCCCATCTTCCCTGGAATTTTTTTTTTTTAAATTCAGGTGGAGTCAACTGTCAGCACCTACACTCACTTCAAGACACTCCAAATTACGTTGATATGGAGGTGTTGGTGTTTTGGGTTTTTGTTGGTTTTATTGAATTGTGCTAGGAAGTCTACATTTAACAGGTATCTGTATTATGTACTAGGCTGTGCTAGGCACGGGGGTGTTGGAGATGAATAGGTGTTTTGGAAAAACAAGCTGGCAGATAATACGATGGAAGCACAGAAGAGGGCCAAAGACTACGAATGAGTTGCTGGGAGGGCAGATTTGGTCTCTGTTTCCTTTTCTGACTGCCCACCCTGCACAGCAGCACCTACCTGGTGCCACAGGAATGAGGGTAGGCAGCTGTCTGAGTCAGTTGGGCTGGTACTCCTGTTGGTGTGTTGTAGATGAGAGATGTGACCCATGCTTCTCTACCTGACTGTAAACTCTGACTCCAATGATTTTCAGAGCCTCAGCGCAGACGCAGGCACGAGCACTCTTCCCACAGCAACCTCCAGAGAGCCCTCAGGGCCAGTCTCCTGCACCTTGTCTGTGGCCCATGAACGAACCCCTTCCCCCGCCCACCTGCCCGAGTAAGTATAATCCTGCTGCCTCCTCCTGATCCACTGGGATTGCTGTTATGTGTGACTCATGTGTTCCGTGGCCTTTTCACAGGGATCCCAAGGTGGTGGAGAAGCCGAGGGAAGCCCTGAGTACAGACAGACTTACTTCCACCACCGCCAGTAAATCGGTGCAGGTGAACGGCACCACCACGGTAGGTGCCAGGGGCACGGGGCCGGAGGAAAGCAGCTCCTTCTCAAATCAGCTCATTGTCAGCAGTCTGATTTGGTGGGCTTTTACTGCTGTGTGCAGTGTGCTTCCTGTGCAGGATACCTTAGATATGTGCTAATTGCTTATTTCTTGTCACCACTGCCATGGGCTCTCTAGTGTCAGTTGAGGGGGCTTGTCCTTTTGAGTAATCTCAGAACTCCAGCTCCTGTTCCCCATAGGATACATGCTCCATCTGAGTGTGGCTGTTGCTCACGGGCACTGAGAACACAGAGGCACCTCGCCCTGCCCATCATGCCCAGTCCACCCCCTCCTTCCCTTCCCTTCCCTCCAGGTGGACCCAGCCTATTCTGTTTTGTGTTTCCTCAGTTAGATCTTGGTGAGCTTTGTCATTTAGATTAAGGAGTTAAACCCTTACTGTCCACTATTTTGACTCTAAAGAAAAGACCTTTTTTTAGGTTAAAATTATTTTCAAGTTAACAAATGATTTATTTAACAAACAATTTTAACTGTTCTTTGGTTACTTAGCCTTAATGCTTCCACTTACCTGAAAACCTACTAAGTTTTTTTCCAAGTTTTTAACTCTCCCTTTCCTAAACCCACATGACCAGTCTATAGTTAGAAATGAATGCAAAAATTTTAAAGACAATTCTGACGTTCATTTGTAATTTGGACTATTTGTAGGAAGTAAGGGCAGAGAAAGCTGGTGCTGTTCATGTCTTCTTGGGGCACCTGGTTTTCTAGGCCTCCTTTGGGGCCTCATGTGGCTCAAGAATGCTTCAAGTTGGAAGGAGTTCAGTCAGAACTTTACACATCAATGCCTTTCCTAGTTTTGCCAATTTTTATAAGATATTTCTAGAATTTCTTAGTGGAAAAGTTGTGCTGCAGGGGAAACTACATTTTTTAAAATTTATGACATCTTTAAAAATAAAAATATTTTTGAATGTGGGACTTGGTTACAGTTGAAAACACTTTTGTTCTTTTTTTTTAATCCTCACCTAAGGATATTTTTTCCATTGACTTTCAGAGGGAGGGTGGGGGAGAGAGAAACATTGATATAAGAGAGACACATTGATTGGTTGCCACCCGACCTGGGGCCGGAGAGCAAACCCAAAACCCAGGTATGTGCCTTTGACTGGGAATTGAGCCTCTGACCCTTTGGTCCACAGGCCGATGCTCTAATCACTGAGCACACTGACCAGGGCAAAAACAATGTTTTTTTACCTTAGAAGAACAGTATTTTCACCTGTTGCCCCTAGAGATGAGATGTCTTGTTCTGCATGTAATTAATCCCAGAGCTGTGTCTTTTCCCAGGAACTGCGAAAACCCAGCTACGCCGAGATTTGCCAGAGGACAAGTAGAGAGCCTTCATCCTCCCCATTGCCACCCCCAAAAGAACAAAAGCCAAACACTGTTGGTTGTGGGAAGGAAGAAAAGAAGCTGGTGGAGAGAGAGCTCCCTGTCCCCAAGTCCAACCAAGGACTACCCAGTGACCAGAGAAGGCCACCAGGCCGCCGGCCTTCACCCCCGCCTGCAGGGAAGCATTCACACAGAGAACAGAGCTCCCCTCCCAGGTCCCCTCAGTGAGCGCCGAGGTCAGGGAGGGCTGTGAGGAGCTGAGGTCGCCACAACTAAGCACTGTCCCACTCGGTACCGAGAATGAGCCGCTGGTTAGGAGCTTGCAGTGTAGACAAGGCCCATGAGATGCCTGCAAGTTATTTTCTTCTCAGTCGGATGTTCCCCCCTCTTGAAAAAATCTATTTTTCAGGATTTAATTAATATAAACCTTATTTTAGGTTGGTGCTTAACTGGAGGTGATGCATAAGTCTGATTTTTTTCAGGATAGAAAATGCATTTATCCTAACAAATTGATATTTTTTATTAAGCCTCCATGTGGCTATGAATGCAAGCTATAAATAGTGAGTTTTTCTAAATTAAGCGGAACTGTGCTACTTTATTTTTTAAAATAACTGGTTAGCAAGTACATATCTCTAAGGATGTCAAACCAACAGGCAAACGGGCGAAGCTGAGGGCTGTGAGTGTAGCCTGGAGGAGGGATGGGTCAGAGGATACCACACACTGGCCTGGGCCGTGTACTTATTCAGAATCCTAACAAGTGATCCTAACTTTTTGTAAAAAGTACAGTCCATTTTTTATCTACTGGGCAGAATAAATCTGCAGAGAGCCCCTGAGAGCCTAAAACCTTGAGTTTCGATGCACTGCAAGCAAGTAACCAGCTCCTCACTCCAGTCTCAGTGGCTATTAATGTAAGATAAATTCAAAGCACATTGTGAATAGAACTTAAATGAAAACATAAACTTTGTTGCCCACTGACATGTTACCATGACATTGTACCCTGGTGGTGGTTTGTTCCCATGAGCTGGCGGGAGGGCTGGAAGCCCATAGGGCTCCCAAGTCTCCCACACATTAGCCGGCTTCCATGGGCGTCTCCCTGTACCTCCGCATCGGCACACGGACTGAACATTACTAAATCGTGAGAGAATGTGTTTGTGGTGCCCGGTGGTGGTGGAGGATAAGAATTCCCGCTCTCTTTACCTCCAAGATGAGGGTCTCACTGATTCCCTTCTGGAAGTGCTGCACTCTGAACCCGCATGCACTAAAGCTAGCAGTTTATAATAAAGTTAAATATAAATTATTTTCTTTTAAAATGCCTAAATTTTTTCTTTAAGTATTCTGAGCAGCAGACAGTAAACTAAGAGTCTTTCCTGCTAAATGTAACCATACAAGTTTATTCCACAAAATGTTATTTAACAAGACTGAGGGTTTTTTTAAAAAAAGTTATTTCCATCCAATATTTAAAGACTTGAATTTTATTTAAACTTGAAAATGACTTTGCCTTAACTTTTGTATAAGACAGCGTAGAGTTCCTGGAGACCGGCCCCTGGGTTGGCGTGAGTGGATTGCAGTTACTCAGTGATGTGGGATCTACTGGCACTAGTTTTACTGAGTAAACGTACTGGAGTATGAGAACTAGCCGTCATGTTTGTAATATACCTTGAAGATCTTACACAGTTGATCTTTTTTCAGATTGTTGAAAATCCTGTAAATGCAAATAGTCGATACTGTATTAAATATGTGCACTTGGGAGTGTGTGCTTTGCTTGTACAGTTGTAAATAATCAGAACATATTAAAAAGGTACCCTAAAGAGAAAAATCTGATAAAAATTATTGATATATTATAAATGTTGCTATTGAGCTGGATGTAGATAAACTAAATGTTGTGGTTTGAATATTATTTTAATTTGTTGAGGTTTTTCTTCCCATTTAAACTGGTGTGTTGAGCTGATTCTGCCGCTTTGCTACTGCAGAGGGAAGTGGACAGTCTCATGAAAGCCTTTGGATGTGTCCATGCTCTTCCTAAAAGTATGTAAATATGTGTTAATCATAGCTGGTGTGAAAGGGTTTTTGAAGTGTAATGTAGAAAGCAGAAACTGGCAGTATCTTCCAGGGAAGTGAAAAATAATCTACTACTGAAAATCACAGATAGCCCAGCCTGATTTACTTTGCCAGAGGAAAACGCCCTCCTCAGAGCAGCCAGCATCCTTTATACACCTAGAAGTACACCACAGTGCTAATATTGTGCAAATGCCTGTAAAAGGAACGTGGAAATTATTTCTTTGTGGTTGCCAGATAGCTGATGAAAAAATCAGAAATAACTGACCTCTTCTGCCCGAACTAATGAGTCCCATAAAGAGAGTTAGAAAGGCAAGCTCCAAGCCTAGGAATTCTTAGTGTTGTGATCTTTGCTGGAGGAGGGAACCACGGTCATCCCCAAATGATATAATGACAAAGCCTTTCTGTGAGGCAGTGCCTGCTGGTGAGTGGAGAGCCCAGCAGCTGCATGCAGGATGAAGGTGGTCACTGAACAGTCACAGCGTGGTGAGGCGTGCGCTGCAGCAACTGCTCCCACAGCCAGTCTATGGCGTCTAGAATTGAAACGTTGCTCTGATGGATTTTTATAACATCCATTTTAATTAAGCAAAGTGATATGCCAAATAACTGTATAATGTCCTAAAAACCTTCCTGATACTATCCTTTAGATTTTCTACACAGAAAAGAATGAGAGTTGGCACAACAGGAAGCTGTGATGCAAATGGCTAGTAGTATATGGCTTTGTACATTTAAAAATGTAACTCTTTTTCCCCAGCAGTATTTTGAGGTATAGAATCAGAGATACAACGATCACAAATGACATTTTAACTTGTACAATCGTGTGATGATGATACTTTGGAAATACAGGAATCTGGCCCCGTTTCTACAGATATGAATTTCAAGTATTGTAGTTGCTTCTTAAAGAGTTAGTGTCATGATGTTTCTGATCAGGCCCTCCCCTGTAGGCTCATCACCAGCTGTCACTAGCTGTAGTCAGGAGCGCTGCAGGTTATGTTTCTCACAAGGTAAGCAGGTGAGGAGGGTGTGAGCTGTCAGTAGAGGTTACACAGAAAGCAGCAGACAATCGAAGACTGAAGGAGAGCCAACAGATGCCAGTTCACAAAACAGGAGCTTTCTTAGGATTTTTATTTTTGTTCTATTTTCATTAAGACTGGAATCAAGCTTATGTGTAACTATTGGTAATTTAAGTTTCCTTTTGTGTCATTCAGTGTAAAACTGTCTAATTTGAAAAAATGTAGGTTATGAAAAATAAAGATTTAGGCACTGTTCAGTTTTTCTTTTGATTTTTTTTTAAAATTAAAATATTCTTTGAGTGTATCTTTTTAAAAATAACTTTTTCTGAATTCCCATCTGTGTACATGAGAATGAAATACAAGTTTGTTCCAACTTGTGTTTGAATTTTAAAGGCTTCTTAGCACACATGTGAGTGATCTGCAGCATGAGGGTCGGCTCAATGTTTGAAGGTACTCAGAGCGAACGTTGAAATCAACTATTCATGAGGAAACTGTTCATTAAGCCCAGGATTTACCATAAAAGTAAATATCCCTGTGTCAGGATCTTTTGTTTCTTGTGTTAAAGGGCCATGTCTCATGAGTTGTGTTCATAAAGTCACTCAGAGTCGATGTTGTGGTTGTGTGGTTTTGAAACCATAAGTGAGCCTCAAAAACAAAGTAGTTGGTATGTGCTTAAACAGTGGTGATACCAACACTAGTAAAAGGTTGAAGGTAGATGAAAATTCTAAGTATATTATTACTTTAGTGGACAGACAGTCGATTAGATGTTAATTGACCAGTTTTCTTTCACGAATTGCCTGTTCATATCCTTTTTCATTTTTCTACTAGGTTATCTTTTTCTTATTGACTTGGGGTTTTTTTTTTATCTGTTCTGGCTATTCTTTGTCTGTTTATATGTTATAAATATGTTCTCAGTCTGTACTAGTTGTCTTAACTTTATTTTAGAGTATTTCTTATTTTACAGTTTTTTAATTATGTAAATGTATCAATCTTCTCCTTTAGGTTCAAGCATCTTGGTCTTGTTTATGAAATCTTTCCTCACTTCAGAGTCAATCTCTTTTTATATATATTTATGTCTTTAGTCCATCTGGAGTTGATTGATCTGTGTGTATGTGTGTGTATGGTCTGAGGTAAGAACCCAACTTCACTTTTCCATCATATGGAAAGTTTCTTTTTCCTGTATCATTAATTAGTTCCTTATTTCTCCACTGATGTGTAAAGCCACTCTTGTTACAGAGTTCCCACATATGCATGCATCTTTACTTGGCTCTCATTCTATGTTCTGTTTCCTTGCTGACACCATAGAATACCATTCACCCATTATTCTGTGTTCCTAAGTATTTCCTTTGTAGAACCCATCATAATGACAACAAAATGTGCTCTGTGAAGGCAGGAATTAGGCCCATCTGGATCACCATTGTGTCCCCTGTCCTTTGTACACTGTGACATAGTAGATGCTCAATAAATATTTGTCAAATTTATGAAATATTTATTGAGTATGTATTCTCCATGCGCAGCACCGGCCTACGAAATTAAAAAAAAAAAAATAGGGTGATGTATTAATTGCTATTTCAGCATAGCCACACCAAAACTCGGTGGCTTAAAATGACAGTCATACATGGGGATTTGGCTGATGTGGCCTCGGTAAGGCTGCACTTGCTCACAGGTGTGTGCATGGGCTGCTCTGGGCCTTTTTGTGGGGGTGAGGATCACACACTGCTATTCACCTCTGCATTTCGTCTTTGGGCCAGCAGGGAGGCATGTCCTCTTGTTCTCTTGTCTATATCTGCCCTTATAGGGCAGACTCCTGCAGGTCCATAACTCTACACTTCATCAAATGTGGGTGATTCCACAGCACCTGAAATCCAAGCCTACCTGGGGACCAGCAACAATCATGTCACTGAAGAGGAAGCTCAAGATGTCCCCTGGGACCTGTGCCCTTTCCTCGCTCTCCTGCCGTCTCAGGGCCAGCTTCGTCCTCGGAACAGGATGCTGCAGGAGCCATGTTAATACCTAGGGAGGAAAAGGCTATTCTGTGGCATTTAGGAATTACGCCAAACCAACCGTAAATTTCACATTTCATTGGCCAGAGTGGGGACCTGTGTCTATTCTTGAAACTGATTGCTTTCAGACCATTTAGGTCGGGTAGGCCAGGGAGGGCGGGGCCCCAGACAGGTTGGGACTCACTCTGTTAGGAAAGGGGAGGCAGCCACCAACCTGCCCACTGAGTGCAGCCCCTCAGGCTCCAGGTTTCTGTATCACATTCGTGTTGTGTGGCCATGTGCATTTAGTCAATATTTCAGACTTGCCACATTCAAGGTAGATCTCTTGTTTCCTGCACAACTATCTCAGCTGGTACCAGTTACTCCACTCAACAGCTGGAGTAACCATTTCTTCCTATATCTAATCCAACACTCCTGTCACCACCTCTACATTCATAAGACACCCTGAGCCTTCCATCGTTTCTTCTTTTAAAAAATATATATTTTACTGATTTTTTACAGAGAGGAAGAGAGGGATAGAGAGCTAGAAACATCAAGGAGAGAGAAACATCGATCAGCTGCCTCCTGCACACTTCCTACTGGGAATGTGCCCGCAACCAAGGTACATGCCCTTGACCGGAATCGAACCTGGGACGTTTCAGTCTGCAGGCCGACGCTTTATCCACTGAGCCAAACCGGTCAGGGCCATTGTCACCTCTTAAAAGCCTCTTAACTGGCCTCCAGTCCACTGACACCCCCAGCCCCCTTCAGCCACAGGGGTCCTCCTTAAGTGTTCCCTGGCATAAACCCTGTGACTGATCCCATGGTGCAAAATGAAGTCCAAACAGCATAGTCCAGGTCACTCGCCAGTGAGCTGCCCAATTTCAGGTCTGCCGCTGGTTGGCCCATAATCCCTGCACTTGGTCTCCAGCTGCTCGTCACACCCAGCTGCTCCACTTCAGTGTTTCCCTGGCTTGGAACCCTTCTCCCGCCTCTGGCTGACTGCTCTTCTATCACACAAGTTCTGTTCACATGTTGGCTCTTCACAGAGCCTGTCCCTGAGCCCAGCCCAAGGCACCTCTATCTTATTTGCATCTCATCTAATTTGTTTACTTGCTTTTGGCCCAAATTCCCTGTCTCCCCAATGTCTGGAGAGTGGTTCTGCCCACTATGGGTGTCTCATAAATCCATTCATTTATCAATTCAGCAGTCCGGTGACAGAACCTGTGTTGTCCCACACACTGACACCTGCATGCTTAAGGCCACCAAAGTTTCATGTGCCCCAGACCTTACACTGTCAGCTTACCGTCACTGTGCGGGCTTCTAAAAGGCAGCACAGCCGAATTTCTGACACTTCCTCAACAATCTCCCTTCAGGCGGTGACGGCCCTATCAGTCCACTCCTTGGACCCAAACCTAGGACTCCCCCTTGCTCTCTCTCCCACATCAGGAAATCAGGACATGAGCTGCCTCCTGTGGATCGATGCAGTAAGTGCCGCTTTTACGCTTGGCCCTCCTGTCCTTCCTCACACACCACAGCCCACCTCCTGGCATGACCTGGATGACATGAAGAGTCCTCAGATTCAGTGGGCCCTGCGTGCATCCAGCCGGGGATCTGTGTGCATCCAGCCTCCTGACCGCTGATTAACTTCTCCCTGCCCACCCTTCCTGCTGCTTTCCTCACAGTCCCCATCACTACCAAACAGAAGGTTTCTGGGTCTTGTTTGCTGTCTGCTGGCCTCCCTGCGAATACACACTTCTTTAGGTCACAGAGTGAATTTGGGGGCGGAGGGGGGAGAGGTGTCTATTTTGTTTAGTGCTGTTTTTCCAGAGCCTGGAAATGTTTAAAAAGCCCTTAAATGAAAAGATCCGCTTTTCAAAAATTAATGTTTAAATATTTAAAACATACTTCTATTTTTCATACTTGTTATGCCAGTGGGTGGGACCATGAAGCCACAGCCGCCTTCCAAGGAGCCATCCTGCCCCGTTTCTGCCCTGTGCAGCCTGGGCCTGGCTCTGTCCAGCCCGAGGACCACAGGTGTTCCCACTTTCTCAATAGGGTTGTGTGTAGTGCTGGGTGTCATCGTTTGAAGTTTCCACCCTGCGTTCTTCACCTTCAGCCTCATGGGATCACCCAGAGCTCTTGTGGGAGCTCAGGATCCTGAACCTCACCTGGTTCTGACGCTGAGATAGTGGCTCCGGCCTGAGACAGGCATTCAGGTTTATTGTCTAGCACTGTGTCATTCATGGTGGATGTGACCCAACCAAGTCTGTCGAGACAGCTATGGTGCCTGCACATGCATGCACACACACGTGCACACATGCGCACACACACACACACCTTGACACACGCACAGGCACGCACATAGGCTTCCTGTGCCCTCCGCAGCATTGCCTAATACGGAGGAGCTCCACGCCGGAAGCACCAGGATCACCAGGCACTGAGTTGCCCAGGAGCCTGACGCACTCAGCCCGGTGCAGGGGGTCCTGCAGGCTCCTTGGCAGGCTGCTCCCTCTGTGCCTGCAGCTCTGCTGACAGTTCAGTGTCCTCAGCCTTCCTTTCCCTGCATGAAGGCTCACACATCACGTGCAGGCCTCTCACAGCAGCTCCCCAGGCTAGCTCCCTAGGATCCTGGAGGTCCCAGACCAGCTGGGTTGAACCATCAACGAGAAAAACAGCTCCCCACAGACTGGTGGACCCGGGGCTATCAGCCTCCCTGTCTGTCCCTGAGCCTGGCCAGAGTGTGTCTTGTGAGACCTGGAGTCCTGGCTCCCAGCGACACAGACACCATTGCCAGCAGGTAAGGGCCCATCTCTGAGCCAACAGTACTTCTGGGGACTTGGTGACTCACACCCTGGCCGGCCACAGCAGCTCTGGAGCACCCCCAGTAGTGGCCTGGCCTCAGATGAGGGGCGCAGGGTGGCATGACTCGGGAACTCTAGGGTTGAGGGCAGCTGGGGGAGGTCCAGCCCAGATCCTCAGATGTGGGTGCAAGGCTTGGTGAGCCAGCCTGGAAAGGGAGAATTCACAAGGAAAATAACGGGAAGTGGCGCCATACTTGAGGTGGCTGTGTGAGGGTGACCCCTGAGACCACGTTTCCTAAGGGGGAACTAAAGGGTTCCTTTCTTCAAGTTGAGATATAATTGACATCAACATTGATATTTGTGTATATTGTGAAACAGTCACCATAGTAAGTCTAGGTAACTTCCATCATATCACATAGTTAACAAATTTTGTGTGTGATAATTAAGATTTACTCTCTTAGCAACTTTCAA